GAGGGGGGAGGGGGGGGGCGGCGCACACCCGCAGCTCCTGCAAGCGATCGGGCGTCTCTAGAGACGCCTGATCGCTTGTATGTAAACAGCCATCGCTGGCTGTTTACATGCTTACCGTTTTCCCTCTCGTGTGCGCGCACACGAGAAGGGGGTGCCGCACACGAGAAGGGGGAGGGGCAGGACGTCTCAAGACGCCCTCCCGCTCCTAGCAGACGTCCGTCCAGCCATTCACAAACGGCCATGGACGGAAGGTAGTTAAAGAAAAGCTTGTGGAATCAGTCGTTAATTACAATTTACTTATCTTTGAATGTAATAAATACATAATAATATGGCATACTATAAAGGCTTTATTGCATTTCACATTGGGGGCAATGCAGACATCATTAGTGTTTAATAGAATTTTCTACAAATTAATTCAGCCAATGTTTTGTATTGTGCACAGCAGTTGAGAGGATATGAGGAGGTTTAGTGTGAGGATAAGAACATAACCAGCCACTTATAATTCAGGGAAACAGCTGCAAGAAACTGCTTGCTGTTTGATCTTTCATATAAATATGTAGGCTTCAAATAATTGGTGAGATGATACATTAAATATCAAGACATCAATTAAACCTTAAAGAAAACATGTCAGAGTGCAGTGCTGATAACAAACGCTCCCAGAACTGTAAAATACCCTTGAGAAAGTAAATTCAGATGAAACGCGTCGGGTTGGTGTCTGCTGTCGTCACTGTCCTCAGGACTTCTGGATAGAATGGTCTGAACTTTGAATGTACTGTGTTTTATGCAGATTTGGCATCATCATGTGTCTGTTTTTTATTATTTTATAATAAAAAGAGGTTTTACACTATGATCTTTTTTATTGTCATGTTTATGGGGGAATCTTGAATATGTTACCGGTTGTTGTCTGAGTGGAACATCAGTGGATCTGGGGTAATCCTAACCGAAGGGATAACAGGATCCTTTGCATGAGTACACTGTCCGACGTATGCCCATACTGAGGTCACGTGTTCTCGTGAGTCTTATATACATAGATGGAATTCCAGTGAATTGTTGACACAGAGAACACAATTTTGGAAGTTTTTGTGACACTGCATACAACCTGTGTTTCACTGGGGGAAGCACTTGAGGGAACATAAGGGCAGACTCATATTTGGAAATGATAATTGGACTGCAAATCACAATTGTAATGGTAAAGGATATACTGTATATGTGACACATTGTATTATAGCTTGTTGATGTTTAAGTTATTTTTTGAGAGAGCGTTGTATTATGGGAATTTGATTGCACGTCTCAAAAACAAATGGGGGGGATGGGGGATATATAGAAGCTCCTACTAGTTTGTGTGTTTTAGCAATACAATTTTTCTTTTTTAAATATATTTAAATTTCACTATATATGAAGTTCTATATACAAGCATTTAAGTTTGTGCATAGCACAATTAACTGTTATAAATAAAAAAAAAAGTTGCTGTCAGAGGCACATTAAAAGAAAACCAAAACGTATATTTATACACAGCTATAATGACCAGTCATTGCTGATCATGTTCAGGGGAAAACCAGTTCAGGCAGGGATGCTGAGATATGCTACATAGCAAAACAAGGAATGTAACCAAAGAAACAGGAGTAGCTAGACAGAAAAAAGGCACTGCAAGGATGATAATGAGAGCGACAGAAGAGGTAGAGAAGTCAGCAAACACAACGGCAGTAAAATTGTGTACTCAACTAGCTGCAGAAGGCTCTGACCGAAGTGGAATATCTACGAGAACCAGAACTTTCAACAGAATCAGACTGCAGCGCGTGGGGACAGGTAACAGACGAGACAAAGAACATAGAATGTAAGATAATGGTAACCAGGGAGAAGAGGGCACTAAAAATGGACTATAGCAGTAAAAATTAAGCTATGACTGTAGAGATGCAGTACAAGCCGGGAATATAATGGGTCAGCAGACAGTAGGGTAGCCAAGTGGATACAGAGCACTGGTTGGAGCAAGCTAAAAGGAAGACAAACACAAAGCAAACAGACCTGGGCAATAACACAATGGTCTATAAGAAAATATGCAGGTGCACCAGAGTGCTTCAGACAGCCAGACAGGACAGGTGCAAACTAAGAAGCACAGACTGAAAGGCAATAAGCCATGTACCAGAAGAGATCATTGGTGGTGAAAATGCTACTTGGGGAATGCAGACTGGAGACAATGAGGTGTAAGCAGAAAAAAAACGGGGGGGTGCAAGGAAAACACAGACAGACAGACAGACAGACAGACAGACAGACAGACAGACAGACAGACAGACAGACAGACAGACAGATAGATAGATAGATAGATAGATAGATAGATAGATATAGGAATACACATGAGAAGGTAGGTATCCTGAGCTTGATCGGAAGGTTGCACCTGAAGGAAAGAGCCCACAAAGATCAGGACAAGCACCAAAAGGTAACATGAACAGGGTCAGAACAAAAAATGTGTCCCACAAACAGAAGACCAATAATTGACTCAAGCCAGAGATCTTCATAATTGCATTACTCTCCTTTACCAGCCCAAAGAGAGCATTTTATTTCAGGACTGAGCTGAGGCAGGAGGTAAGACAGCCTCTGTGGTGGTTTTCAACAATGAGCCTGAACGTTTGCTCAGGGAAGGAAAGAATGAAAAAAATGCAAACGAATAACAGGTCAATTAGCTGTCTTGTAGAGGGAAGGCTGTGCTTTGTATTGAATGTATTGAATCATTTTCTTTAACATTAAAGTACAAAATATGAAACCACAACAGTATCTGCAAGTCGCTTAAGATATTAATTGCTAATCAAATAAATTATCAAATTGTTAATCAAATAAATTATTTTTGCATACATTTCCTGCTGGTTAAGTACAGACCACACACAAGGTAAATGCAAGGATAAATAACAGAGAACAGGGAATGTAAAAATATTTTGATACCTGGGCGAGGAGGGAGGTGAAGTGGTTGAGCTATCTTGAGTCTGCTCTTCAGATCTTCCCATCTTCTTTGATCAACAGTCAGCAAAGCTGTTCCCTGGGTATTTAAGAGACATGTGACAGGCATTTTAAAGCACAATATGTAAAATGAGCAAATCCAGCTTCAGCCTAAACGAACAACATACAGAGGTTGATAGCAAGAAATGCAGATTTACATAACATAAATCTATTACAAAATTGTAATATAAATCAGAGAGTTATTAAACCATATTCAAAACCTATGCAAATGAAAATATTAGGCTGTGACCACAGATTATTTTCAGTAGGTTTAACATTCCCCATTACGTATAAAACAGAAAAAAACACATCCTAAATCTCAAATGATGTTGCCATAGACTAACATCCCAGATAGCAAGCAATTGAGCTGCAAGTTTGAAAATGACTTGCTAAACTATTGCAGACTTGCCAAGCTTCACAATTTTGTTGCACAATTACAGCAAGTCTGCATTGCAAGTCTCCAGACCAGCGAGCTTGCAGAGCTCTTGCTAAGACCTGCAGGACTCTTGCTGTAGACTTGCCAAGCAAATTTGCTACAAATTCAAAAAGTGTCATCTAGAACTTGTGCTGCAAGTGCTCTGCAAGTCTACAACTTGCCAGGAATGTGTGCAGCAAGTTAACAAGAATTACAATTTAACCTTGCCACAAGTTTGTGGCAAGTTATCCTTGCTATCTGGGATATTGTCAGAAGTAAAACGGAAATCTGGAGTCTGGTACAAAAACTTGAGGGCACCACTCACGTTACTATCCGACCACAGAACCTCTGTTCAATCAACTTTAAATTTACCAAAACATGAGGACCTGCTAAAGCTGGCCATAAAATCTGATTGGATGCAGGCATTGTTCAGGTATTTTGAGAGCCAGCGGGGCCAACGAGCAAGATACTGAAGCTCCCAGTGGGATATTCCTCCATCCCCACAGTTTAACGTAGATGGATGGAATGGGATGGAATCTGTTGCACTTTTTCCATCTGACCATAAAAAATATACAGATAATCTATAGGTGTCTGGCCAGCTTTAGTCTGTTAAATAAATGTGTATCCAATTAAGCAAGCTCTTGCACTACAAAGTTGTTGGTACATCTAAACCATGTGTGGTGAGATTTAGCTCAGGGTGCTGCAGGGTACGTTTTAATGTGCTGTAGTATGCAGCCTATTCATTTGAATGGGCGGCATACTGCAGCTTAATTGTACTGAAAGATGTTTTTTTTAAATCGCATCGCACCACATCATAATAATAATAATAGATTATCATGCAACATGGGTCAATATAACGTACATGCGAAGGCTAGTTGCATTTGGGTGCTTTTAAGAAACAATGCCAAGGCAGTGCAATTATTATTGCATCATACAATACGGGATTGCATCGCATGCACTCCTGCATCGCGTAGATGTGAACAGAGTTTTAACAGAGTATTTATGTCTCACAAAACAGTCATTTTATCCTCTGTAAATATTTATTAAAATTGGGTATATTATTATTATACAGGATTTATATAGTGCCAATAGTTTGGGCAGTACTTGTATGGTATAGTTTGTTATTTACCCATATGCTTATTATAGGCTAAAACTGCCTATAATACAATAAGAAAAGGGCTATGGAAGAAAGAGAAATGCTTCTTCATTTACAAACTGTGAAGTGGACGTATAGCGAATAGGTAAATAAAAGCAGTTAGACTTGGGCCCTCTGGCTTTTTCGACCAGGAACATTCCTTGCACTCCCTATAGTTCTCCCCTAATATCATTCTTAGATCTTAAACACAGAGCACATCGGATTGCTCATAAAATTACTTTAACAAAACCATATAAATCACAAGCATAAGATCGATAATAGGCTTATTACAGTATTATTATTATTATTTCTTTGCCTCCTTTCTTTGCCTGAGAACCTTTCATGTTCTTGTTATCAATAATTGTGAGTTTATGTACTGCAGTTAAGCTTGCTTGATTGTTGTATAAGAAGCACAACTATAGGGGAAAATTCCCCAAAAAGTACATGAATCCCAGATGAAAAATTAGGAGCTTTGAATATATTTAGGTTACTGGAGGGAGAATGAAGACATAGCCAAACAGTTCTGGCAGCAGACTATTTGTGATGGCTTTTAAACCTGTTTGATAGATTACATCTCCTACAGAATAGAGACATAGGGGTTGATTTACTAACCTTTTAAACACGCCACGAACGTGTATACACCTCTGTAGTGTGTTCCCTCCCAGCATGATCTATGGGAGGAATCGAAACACCTTTGTAGTGTGTACACACCCAGCAGGTGTGTTGTGCAAAGCCCTGCAATGAATTGCAAGGTAATGTGGTGTAAATTAGCTCTATGTTATGTTGCTTGCGTTGATGAATGCAAGGAATGTAAATGCATGAGCTAACCATTTTTGTCTAAACTGTGAAGCAGCATTATATATGCATCATGTGCATGATTTTTCCATATATGGCATTAGTGGAAATATGCTTTTAGAGACTTTTTGGTTGATAAATACGTTTTGCTGTGTGAAAATCACACACACCTGGTGTGTGTGTGTGTTTAGGTTAGTAAATCACCCCCATAGAATCTTTGACCAGTCTAACCAAAAAGCAGCATTTGAAAGCTGCTCATCAATCTATGGTCACTTTTACCTAATCTTTACCTACGAGCTGTTGTGAAACTACAATATTCAGGATGATAGCTCCCAGGCATCGCAAACAAAGGTAATATGTTCTTGTGGTAGGCTATGTTTGACACAATTGTTTTAGGTTTTTTGCTTCCATAAAGCAGTTGAGGTCATATTTTTCCAAAATTAGTTTTATGTGATGCTGTTGAAAATGATACGAAAACATACAAGAGCCAAGAAAGCATAGCTATAAATAGATAAAATGTAGTTTTCTATGCTGACAAAAAGTATGCTAATGTGTTATATTGCATGTAATGAAGCAAATAGATCTTACCTTGTTTTCATTGAAATTGGCAATCACCACGCCAACAAAGAGAGTAAGGCCTATCATGCAACCAAGAAACACAAAAACATGGATGTATATTCCATGTATCTGTAAGAAATGATAGATGGGCAAGTGTTATTAAGATAAAAACCTGTGCATCAAAGACAGATTATGTGAAAGTTTTAAGACAGAATTCAGTATGATTTTGAGTTAAAGTAGTATTAAACTCTCAAACTTGATTAACCAAATGTACTGTACATTGCCCAGCAACATATTTCTTCAAATTTTTGCCAAAGCACTTACAGTCATCATATTTCTGAATGGCTGGCACCAACTCTCTCAGCTCAGCTTCCCTGAACGTCCTGTCTAGTAAATGATCACCAGGAACAACAGCAGTATCCAGCAATTTTCAATCTACTAGCTTGGAGAAGGAAGAAAGGAGAACACAGGAGCTTTGCTTGTGTGTTTGTGAACTAGCACACACAAGGGTGGCTCCATAGGACCTTGCAAGAGAAAGGAGCCACCATAAAACAGGATATCAGGACCAGTGCTCAGGGAACCAGCTGATTCTGCAGGAAACTACAACTTTTAAACACCAATGGGCAGCATCCATTGTAAATGATTTACTCAGCAATTGAAATAGCCCAAAAAAACCTTTCACTTTAATATTACGCTGCTCATGATTAGTGTAAGGTGTCCGCCGGGTTGCGCTCCAGCCTGGAGCGCAGCCCTGTGTAACCATGACGGCGTTCGCGGCTTGTCCTCCAGGCTGGAACACAGCGGCCGCCGGGCCGTCTAGTGGCTCCGCCCACTCACGCTCTGGCCGATAAATACGAGCCAGGAGCTGCACAGGGTGTTCCACTAATGGAGTGCGCACCCTGTCAGCTCCATTCACCACAAGGACGCCATCCCTGTATCTGGACTGGAACCCTAAACACCCAAGGAGGAATCCCCACCATCGACCACCGGCTCCCCCACTGCTGGCTCTTTCCTCACGAACTGCTAACTGCAAGTATATGCCTTCTAATAGGCTTTGCCTTTACTGTGGAGATTAGAGTGGAAGGAACTCCCGGTGGTGACTGCTGGTACTACAGTGTTATGCTTAACCCTGAGATATTGCTATAAACTAACCTCCTTGAGAAATTGAACCAAACCCCTTTAGACTGTGAGACTTTCTTTAATACGGGGTTGTTATACTGTGCTTGCTGCGTATACGTAGAACTGCTACTCATAGCAGCTTGAACCAAACTAGGAATTGCAACTGTATGCCTGTGGGAAGTAATGCATTCATGTATGGACCTCTGATGTTACAACCCTGAAACAGCAGATACCACTTGAGCTACTCACATAAGTGCCAACCAATAAGAGGGACTCTTCCTTGCATAGAGAGATATTAATTAATACTGCTGAACTACCTCTTAACCTCTTCAACTAAAAGGAGACCTTCCTCACCATTGGTTATCTTTTAATTTTGTTATTCCGGTACATGATTTTGGTAACCCCAAACTCTCCGCCTAAGACTGAGAGAGCCGCCTGGGGTTCAAACTGAGCAACCGCAAAAGACACCGCCAACACTCAGGCAGTGTGATAATAGTTGATGTCAAGGGACTCCGCAGTTGAGATCCTAACTGACCAACTTGGTGCGTTACAATTAGATTTTTAGTTGCTTTGCCCTACTTCAGTCCTACTAAACTGCTTTGATTGGAGCAAGATGTACATTAACTTCTAAGGGAAGAAAAACATTTACAATGGAAATATTTGCCAGTGTGCACAAGCCCTTATATGTACTGTATACTTACAGGTCCAACACGATGAATGATGACATCCCGAACTTCAACCCAACCTTTTAAAGATAGCACTTCAAACAAAGCCAGCATAGCATTTCCTACATTGTCAAAATTAAAGTTACGGGGATTTGCCCTAGAGAAGAAAACACCATAGTTATTATCAGTTATTAAAAGAGGAGTGAAAAAGATTTGCCAAAGAGAGTAAAAAACTTTAAAGTACACCTGTCAAGAGAGAATTATATCTGGCCTCTCTTTTTGAGAGAGTTCCCTGGATGTCATGTGAAGGCTTTTTGAGTCACTTACCCGGAACAAATATAGATTAGGAGTTCTCACATGTTACTGAAAGTCTTTACAACATGCTTGTTCCAGTCAAAAATATTGAAGCAGAACACAGCATGGTATCTAGCATTTCCAGATGGAGGCCAGCATTTAAAGACTCTATGGGGGTGATTTACTAACCTAAACACACGCACGCACTAGGTGCTTGTGATTTTTACACAGCAAAACGTATTTATCAACCAAAAAGTCGCTAAAAGCATATTTCCACTAATGCCATATATGGAAAAATCATGCACATGATGCATATATAATGCTGCTTCACAGTTTAGACAAAAATGGTTAGCTCATGCATTTACATTCCTGCATTCATCAACGCAAGCAACACACCGTAGAGCTAATTTAACCAACATCACCTTGCAATTCACGCAGGGCTTTGCACAACACACCTGCTGGGTGTGTACACACTACAGAGGTGTATACTTGTTCGTGGCGTGTTTATAAGGTTAGTAAATCAACCCCTATAACTCTCTCATTACAGATATACTTTAAGAAAACAGTTATTACCATATGTGTGTACTTAAAACAATGAAGTTGTGAGATATGTTAAAGTAGAACTCAGGCAAAAAGCTTGTTCTTTGTTCTGCTGGAGTTTTTCCCTCACTTGATGTCCTACTGACTGTGGTTACAAAGACAGGAAGTGAAGGGAAAGTTCTATTCAGGCAAAGAGAAAGCAAAGCAATACAAATATATATATATATTTTTTAGAAGAAAAGGAATAAAATGTATGTCGGTTTTAATTGCTGTCTGTATACCTGTTAGGGAGATTATGTCCCCCTCGGTCGAAGAGAGAGTGGTCACCAGGACAAAAAGTGAAGTGGAAATCTCCCTATTAGAGACACAGACAGCAGTAAAATGGAGACTGCCATCTAAAACTAAAGAAAAAACATTTTGGCTGAAGTTTCTCTTTAGGCTAATAGCTTGCTGCATTATGTAGTAAACACATGTAGCAGAGGTTATCATGGAGCAATAAAATGTATAATAATATTAGAAATACATTGTAACTTGCAATAGACCAATCAGAGATCAGAAGATTTCCAAGTAAATGTCAAGTGTTGCGGTTTGTCACCTGCACTCCATACGGCTCTGTAGACATTTCTCTTTCAAAATGGCGGTTCTTAAAGTGATGACAGGGATGGCGCTGTGTGTTCCCAAATACGGGTGAAAGAAATCATCAGCACTCACAGGATGCCAAATACTTGTTTATTTTGATTGAATGTGCATCATCTGTGTCAATCAAACCAACATTTTGGGGCCACACAGGGTCCCTTCCTCAGGGCATCACTATATCGCCCTGAGGAATGGGACCCTGCGTGGCCCTGAAACGCTGGTTTGATTGACGCATGTAACGCACGGTCAATAAAAATGAATACGAATTTTGCATCCTGTGAGTGCTGGCGAATCCTTTCATCCGAATTCAGTTAATGTGACAGCTGCCCTTCTCAGAAGCAATAGCACTATCATTATCAGAATCACTTGTACTGTAACCTGTGTGCACAGTGAAGGCTTTGCCCTTTTTTTACATGCAAAATCTTTCCCAACATGCTGTAATGCTTGAACCAGATACATTGCTTGTAATAATAAGAGTTGTGTATGGCCAGCCTTATATCTTACATGATGCACAATAAAAGAATATAAGGACTTGGTCCTATTAGGCTAATGAAGAGCCCTTTACATTCGTGGGCAGGATATTTGTCCTCTAGGATAAGGGACTATTTTTTTTTTTAATGAGAAGATTTATGTGCTTTAATATGTATCATAAAAAGGTCTACTGCATCTGGAAATTATTTATAGGTAACATTTTTATGAAAAGACAGTTATGCCGGAGGGTTGTATACAAGACTACAATGACTATTTCAAACAGAGCAAAACATTAAGTTTTCATGTTATTTATAACATCTATCAGGCAGACTGCCATCATGACAGAAAGTGTACTTTTATTTAGTTTATTTATCAGCAATTACATTTATTACGAATAGTTGTACAGTACATATTACAGTAATACATAATTACAATAATACAAGACTATAATAAAGTAATATAGTACAATACATATTCTCTCTGATCCTAAAGCAAAACTGAAATCAAAATATGTGAATTGCTTTATCAGTTAACATTTCTTAAAGTAATAATTTTTTTAGTTTTGGTTATAGTAAGGAGGAGTTAAACCCCCTTTCAGGTAATTTTTGTCATCAGTGTACCACTGGGGAGATTTCTCTTTACTTCCTATACTGTAGACAGAAAAAAACATAAAATAAGAAGTCTCTCCAATGTGAAGTCATATTTTATACAGCTTTCACCATAACATTGATAATTCTAAAATTTTCAATTCTCCTCATGTCCACCTTGGTGACATTGGTCAAAAGGGAAATTGGAGAAGTAAATCTTTCTAATGGGGACACAGACAGTAAAAAAATCTTAACAGAGGGTCTAATCCTTCCCTACTTTACCTAATTTCTCAATTCTACTCGTCTAGTCTTGTGATATACACACTTGATCATGCTAATAGTCAGCAGGGTGACTTATTGTGGCTGTGTTGCTTAGGTGCACAATAGTCCATACTAATGGTGAGGGACTCTCTGTGCATTCCCTATTGGCTATTTCAATTTGCAAAAGCCAATAGTAAACTAGCATTGTACCCGCCCTCTGCTGCAGTTCCCCATCAGGTCCATGAGCAGAGGGCGGGTACAATGCTAGTTCACTATTGGCTATTGCAAATTGAAATAGCCAATAGTAATGTACCAATGCTTTTCAATGGGAACATTTCTTTTTTTTTTTCTATTCTGACATAGCTCGTGTCAGAATAAAGAAAAAAAAGACACAGCAGTGTTTCTCTCCTGGGCAGCCAGGAGCGGGAGGCTCCCAGAGCGCCCGGGAGAGTTTCTTTCTTCTTTTTTTTTGACAGCAGCAGAGCCGCCGGATAATAGGAAAAATTTTTGCTTGCACATAATTCCATGATGGAAGTCAGCAGAGCCTCACCTCAAGCTAAGAGAAAATTCCCTTGCAAAGTGAACAGTCTATTTGTCTTTAGTAAATCAACCCCCTTGTGTCTGAAGCATGTTAGGATGATAGAGGCGTACAATACAGCAGAGCATGATTTTCCCACGGTATTGACACGTTCACTAGGAAGTTTATATGAAGTCAGATTACAGGTAATGTTACTAGCAGCATTTACAAGATACAGTTTGAACAAATAATTTTATACTATTTCCTGGAGTTCTACTCGAATCCCTGGAGTGAACAATAAATAATTCAATTCCATTCTGTATAAATATATATTATACAAACATAAATTCATCATCTTTAAACATTGCTATGCACATTGTTTACACAGCTAAGAGTATTTTACAGGAAAGCTTACCAGACTCTCGGAACCCAAAATCCTGGCTTTTTTTCTCTTGGTTTTAATTTCAAGTTTAAATTTTTAGAAACACTGACATTAATCCTAAATATTCCATGGCATTTTTCCTAAGAAGGAAGAAAAGCAGAAACGACACATTAAATACAGCTGTAGTTTATGTTTCCAGCTCCAAATGCAAATAGAATTCCCTTTCTTAGAAATATAAAGAAAACAATACTCTTCTGTTGCTTGGCCTCATTCTTTCTATTATCAATCATATGCTGCCACGTATACTGTGTGTAGTAATAGTACTTCCTTTTCATATTTAGTAAATATGGAAACTGCAATTGCATTCAGAAGGTCCATTTGACGGTTGCTGTTCTGCTAAATTAAGTGTAAATGCAATTTTAAATATGTTTTGAATAGAAGGTTGAAGGGTAAGACCGTTTGTCAAGCTTTTTATTGCTGTATGTGCCCCTATTGGGAAGATTCACCCATCTATTTTTTTTCTCGTTTTGTTGGTAAGGCAGAAAGTGATAAGAAATACAACATTTTTGCAAGAGGTAAGGGTAAATCTTTCAATGGAGGCACCTGTTCCAGTAGCAGCTATGTAAAAGTGGAATTTCCCTCACTTTGGGGAGATTTTATATCACTTTCGGTTGCATCCCTGGGACAGGAAGTGAATGGAAATCTACCCAATGGAACACATAAAAAAAAAACTGACAAGGGTTTTAACCATTCTCTACTTTGTCCCAAACTAAAATTAAACGTTTTGGCTATACATTTACTTTATTTGCCTGATCTCAAAGTTTTTAACCTATATTTTAAGTGTGTGTAGTCAGGTAGTTTACAGTTAGAAACTCTCTGTCAACCAATGACCTCAGCCCCCTGGAGCTCCAGCTAAAGTGTTAGGCTCAGATAAAGTAATGCTAAGCTTAAAAAGGTAGAGATACACTGTAGATCTTTGATAGGGAAGCCTGAATAGCTATAAAAACCTAAGAATATAAAGGGGTCCATGAACAAAACTGCCGTAGGCAGCCGAGTGAATAACCGACCCGAAGTGAAGTGAGCCGAACGCTGTCCGGCTATTTTTTAGGCTTGTACGGCTGATTTCAGCCGTATATCGCCTGAAATCAGCCATACATCGGGTGGCTTGGGATCGGCCGAACATGCTCGGCATGTTCGGCTGACCCGAAGTGCAGAAGAAGTTCGACTCAGCCGATCCAACATCTGGATCGTCTGAGCCGAACCTCCGGCAGGCTACTCTCTGCTGTTCGTCCTATTCTCATAGATGCCGAACAGCAGTGAGTGAATAGCCGAATGCTGCCCAGCGGCATTCGGCTCGGCTATTCTGCTCGGTACCCCTGTGGTCCTGAGCAGAATAGAAAAACAGGTAAAAAAAAGTTGAAAAAAAATAGAAAACGATTGAAATGATGGCAGATAGTAGAGGAAGCCACAGCTTCTTTGCTATCTGCAAGTTTTTTTTTAGTATTCTGACAGCTGCTTTCAATTTGCAATATCCAATAGCAGGTTGGCTATTGCACCCGCCCTCTGCCGCTGTCAATCACTAGAAGGGGACCTGATGGAGAACTTCAGGTCATCTCTGCTGATTGACAGCAGCAGTGGGCGGGTGCAATAGCTAGTTTGTTATTGGCTATTGCATAGTGAAATAGCCAATCGGAATGTAGCTATGCATTCCTATGCTGTTTATTTTTTTCTGACTGACGGCGCCGGCGGCTCCGATGTCAGAAGAAAAAAAACAAACAAACAACAGAGCAGGGAAAGGTTTACTCTGCTCGATCGTCCGGGAGAGTAATGGTAGATTAGCGTCCCTGGCTACTTGGTAACCAGGGACGCTAATCTGTCTATGCAAGTGGCCAGAGCCAGTCATGAGACTGAGCCGCTCAGCCAACTTCGGGAGCTGTACGAGCTATAGTGAATAGCCCGTACAGCAGCCCTTTGGTTCTACTGAACCGAAGGGGTCCTGCGGCCGAAGGATCAGCCGAAGCTACGGCTAGATCCTTCGGCAGCTTTGTGAATAGACCCCAAAGTTTTTTGCCTAAGGCAAATCTTGACATGTGAGAGTTGGATTGTGCTTGCAAACCCAGCCACCTTCCTGTGTCTACAGTACTTACGTAATAAACAGCCAAAGATTTTATCTTTTGACCCATCAGAAATGCTGTCAGCCAGTAATCAGTTTCTTAGGTGTACATAGGTATGTGAGCCCAGTCAAATGCTATATCAAGTCCTGACTGAGTAACTGACATGTTTTTTTCCAAAAGACCCATGGTTTTCTTCTGATACATGACCTTGATAAATATGATTGTGAGATCTTTATAGTAATATAATGTTACAAGGTTCAAACAGTGGTAGAAATTGTTAGAAAAGTGGAGTATAAGCTGTAAGAAAACAGGTAAGTAATTTAGGTAAGTGCACTGTGAAACGAAGAATTGCATTGCATCAAATTCTCCACTACATCATTGTATCTTCCTTTGTGTGTGGAAAATTTCTGACACTCTTCTATAATACTCACCCGGGTATCAATAGTTGGATCATTGCACTTTGCAAGCTTCCCTGCAAACAACTGGACACCAAAGCTGGCAAACACCAGCATCAGCGTAAGTAACAGAATAGATACCTGCAACCGTAATAAAAACAGTTTTATTAAAGATAAAACTTGATGAATCTGCAGACACTAAACTGATTTTAATTGGAATGAATTATAAAGCTCATAATCTTAATAACTGTTTTCAATATCGTTGAGCTGTACAGCTTTCTTCTCACTGTGTCCTTTCTGTCTTCCCCCTCTGTCTTGCTCTCTTCTCTCCTATGGCTTACTCTTTTCCCCCTGTGTCTTGCTCTCTTCTGCCGTCTGGCTTGCTCTCTTACCTTTCTGGCTTGATCTCTTTCCCTAGTGTCTTGCTCTCTTCCCCCTCAGGCTTGCTTTCTTTCCCCTTTGCCTCCTTGCTCACTTACTTCTCCCCTCTTTTGCTCTTCTTCTCTCTCTTGCTCTCGAAAAGCTCTCCCTCTCTCTTTTTCACTTTTTCAGCTCAGAGTTTAGAGCACTTAATTTACCAATTAATCATGCTCAATTTTTATTACACTTGCTTTTTGACTGTTTAACTATATAGATGTGGTGTATATTTACACTGCTTAAACATTTATTGCTTTAGTTTGTAAAAGGAGCTTCTGTTATTTTTGTCAGTAAACAAATGAGCTCTGTCACTACATTTTCTTTTGTGTCAATAAATAAAAGTTGTGGGGAGCTGGCAATCCTGAAATCAACAGCTATTTCATAACAGCATAACAAAAATAGCATGTATTACCATACAGACACACTGGCCATGGAATCATCACGTGCCCCTAAGTGGACTGCTAAAGACTTATCATGTAGTTACGCAAAAGCACTGTGACTCTTCTTATATAACACACTTGATGTAACAGTTGTTCTACTTTATAAACAACCTTGCACAAATTGTTTCAACATACCAAAAATATTTCCTTGAATCCACTAAAGAGCTCACGTACAACTTTCCTCATCTGAGGGACCAGCTTGAATATTCGGATAGGTCTCAGACATCGCAATACCATTAAAAGCTGTGTTCCAGACTTTGCAGGAACACTGTGTGGCATCCAGCAAAGAAAGATCAGACTGACCTTAACATTCAAAAATATATCATGATTAATAGGCAGTAAGAACAATGCTAAGCCATTTCTTCTGGCTCAGGTTACCGTATTTAAATGTCTGTTTTTTCCAGTATGAAGATTATAAGTCAGATGAGAAAACATATTGCACATATTACTTGCTGTTTTGCACTTGTTATTTACTCCTGAACTGAATGCTACATATTTCACAAAGCCGGACAATAAATGGATAAAAGCTACTGAAATACCACACAGAAGAATGAGGCAATTTAACATTTGTTCTGTGCGAACATATGCACAAATTAACTTTCGGGTTTTTTTTCTTTATAAGTAGAAATATTTTCAAATGTTCTGCTTTAATATCACATTATAGCTACTAAATGGAGCTGAGGAGAATATAAAATAAATACATTTCCCTATGCCTTACAGAGGAACTTGACCATTATCTTTAACATGACAACAAAGTCAGCTATAGAAATGTTTAATGTTTATTAAGGACAGTCTACAAACACATACTTATAGATAATTGATGGCTTTTTATTCTTTAAATACCTTATTTTTCTTTTGTTCCCCATTCTTCTCAAGGTGTCCATTTTTACTATGAGCAGATTAATATTAGGGATGGGCTCGATGTTCAAGTCGAGCAAGAGTTCGACTCGAATATTGCCAGTTCATGTGTTTGGCGAACACACGAACTGTCCACCGAGCACCCCACAAGGCACTGTGCACCGCAGGTCAGGTGCAAGACTTTGCCCAATCAGGGCACAGTACTCTATAAGAGCCATGATTGGGCTGTCAGATGCCGTGCAACTGTAAACAGTTGGGCGGAGCTAGCTAGCTGTCACTGCTAGCTCCGCCGAATTGTTTATATTTTGCCGGCATCTGTCAGAATGCCATTCTACAGAATTCGTAGAATGTATTTATTTTTATTTTGTCGAATCGTCGTCGTCGTGGACAATGCCTTACGTTGTGATTGACCATGGATTATGTCGGTGGATCAATTTTTTTTTTTTTTTATAAAAGACTTTTCAAAAACATGTCTTTTTTTTTTTCAATTAGAGACCTTTTTTCCATTTTTTGCATCCATGTTATATTCCACATTTTAGGCCTGAAAATGACATAAAACCCCCAAACATTATATATTTTCTGAATGCCAAGACCCTATAGAATAAAATGGTGGTAGTTGCAAATTTTTATGTTGCACAATATTAGTGCAACTCCTTATTAAACCCCAACATTTAGCGAAACATTTAATTTAATGCCCCAAAACACAACAAAATACAAAATGAAATATAAAAGATGAGGTTACAACAAGTAAAACGATACCCAACATGCCCAGGTTACAAATTGCGTGCGTCCGTGAAACGGCAAAAAACTACAGTACCCCAAAAAGTCCATAGAAGACGCTTTAAAAGCCCCCACAAGTCATCAATTTAGAGATACCCCAAAATACTGCCCCTAGAATTTATGCTCTCACTCCGGCATGCGCG